TCTCACTGGTATCCTCCTCAGGTTCCGTGAGTATGAATGTGCTGTACAAGCCGATATTCGCAAGGCTTTTTTTATGATCGGAATGCGTGAAGAAGATAGGCCATATCTGCGTTTTGTTTGGCCTGAGATAGGTAGCGAAGAAATGTGTATCTGGCGTTTAAAGAAGCTGCCTTTTGGAGTGAATTGTTCTCCTTTCATACTTAGTGCTGTGCTGCGCTTTCATCTCGATAGTGCATTCGAGTCTGCTTCTGCTGCTGAGCGTGATATCATAGAGCTGCTGCTGCGTAGTTTTTATGTTGATGATTGCGTTTCTAGCTTGCCATGCTGTGCGGATGCTGAAAAGCTGCAGGAGTATAGCGTTAATGTTTTGCAGGGAGCAGGCATGGAGTTGCGGAAGTGGCGAGGGAACACGATGACCTCAGACCCCGAGGCTGGTTCCAAGGCACTGGGTATTGTGTGGAACACCGAGTCAGATTGTATTTCGGTGGCTGCGCTCGGTGATGTTGAGTGTCCCAAGGAAGTGTCTGGTTGGTCTCGTCGTGCTTTGTTGCGTTGTGTTGCCGCTGTGTTCGATCCGCTAGGTTGGGCGTCACCCGCAGTTGTGCCAGGCAAGATGATGTTGCAAGAGAGTTGGAAGCTCGGCGGTGGCTGGGATGACCCATTCCCTATTGATTTGGCTGTCCGATGTGCTTCATGGTGGGGAGAGCTCGCAGCGCTTTCTTCCGTTAAAATCCCCAGATGGATCGGGTGTACTCCAGATGCTCCAGTCACTTTGCATGTATTCTCCGATGCATCCGAGAAGGGCTATGGCTGTTGTTTCTATGTTGTGTCCGGTTTGACGTCTTCTTTGTTGTGTGCGAAGGCGAAGGTTGCACCTGTTGTACGTCCCACTCTTGCGCGTCTGGAATTGTCGGCTGTGTGTCTTGGCGTGAAGATGTTGTCCTTTGTCGTCAATGAATTGAGAGTGCCAATTGAAAGGATTGTGGGGTGGACAGACAGCCTAACCACATGGCACTGGATCTCAAAGCCGTCGTATCACTGGAAGACGTATGTTGCTAATCGAGTTGCTGCAGTGCAAGAAGTTTCGCAGAAGCTGCAAGTAGAATGGCGTCACTGTCCAGGAGTTAGCAACCCTGCAGATCTTGTCTCGCGTGGTGTCCCAGTGTGTGACTTGCAGAAGGAGATGTGGCTGCATGGTCCGTCTTGGTTGAGCGATGAGTCTCAGTGGCCACCAGTCATCTCGTTTCAGAGCACCAATGAGTCCGTCACCGAAGCACGCGTGTCGGCTGTGGAGGTTGACACTCCAGTTGTTTGGCCGTGGGAGAAGTTCTCCAAGTGGCAACGAGCTCGCGGTTTGGTCGCAAGTATGCTGTCATGGCGACACAAGGGTGTTTCGCGTGCAGAATTGATTCCATCTGCTGAGTCTGTGATGTTTCGCGCCATCCAAGAGCAATGCTTCCCCAAGGAGTTGTCCCAGTTGCGGAGCAAGGAGCCACTGAAGAAGGGTTCGAAGCTGTTCAAGTTGTCTCCGTTTCTGGATGAAGCTGGTTTGCTCAGAGTTCGTGGTCGTCTGCAGGAGAGCGATCTGTCCTACGAGGTTCAGCATCCGATCATCCTGGGCAGATGTCATCTAAGTGAGTTGTTTCTGCGTGATGCTCACCTTCAGCGAATGCACCAGGGTGTAGAGAGCGTGCTTGCGTTTCTACAACAGCAGTTCTGGATTCTCGGAGCTCGTCGGTTTCTTCGTAGCGTGTCGGAGAAGTGCATTGTTTGCCGCAGATTTCGCGCACAGACTGCTGCTGAGGAGATGCCGCCGTTGCCCTCAGACAGGGTGAAGCACCACCAGCCATTCGGTCTCACAGGTATTGATTATGCAGGTCCTTTGTACGTGCGCAGTTCATCAAATGTTCAGAAAGTGTGGGTCGCACTCTTCGTGTGCGGTACTACTCGCGCAGTGCACCTAGAGCTCGTGGATAGCCTGTCGACAGAGGTGTTCCTGCTAGCATTGCGTCGTTTCATCGCCCGTCGTGGGAAGCCGCTGCGTATACGTTCAGATAATGCTACGACGTTCAAGTCCGCCGCAGACAAGGTGGCAATCCCGTGGTTCTTCAATCCGCCATCTGCCCCGTGGCATGGAGGGTTCTATGAGCGTCTGGTGGCATGTGTGAAAGCTCCCTTGAAGAAGGTTCTCGGTCGAGCGTCATTGAGTCGAGACGAGCTGTTCACTGTCTTGACGGAGATCGAGAGAGTCGTCAACTCTCGACCCCTCACTCCGGTTTCTACGGATGTAGCTGACGAGTCGCCGCTGACTCCAGCCATGATGTTGGGAGACATCTTTGCAACCGGTATTGCCTCGTCTGACAGACCACTCGATCCACGGCAGTTGTCCGCTCGAGTCAAGTATGTCCACACCGTCTACGAGCACCTCAACCAGCGTTGGTCGTCTGAGTATCTCATTCGTCTCAGTGAGTATCATCGGTCAAAGTCAACTCCGATTGTCGTGAACGACGTTGTGTTTATTGCCGACGACAACCGGAAGCGGCAATCATGGCGCTTGGGTAGGGTCGCAGAGCTGTATCCTGGAAGAGATGGCAAGTGCAGGGTGGCCAAAGTCCAAGTTGGCCAATCGTCCATGCTACGGCCCATTCAACGCTTGGTTCCGTTGGAAGTAGCGAAGGAGCATGTTGAGCCGCCTGCTGTGGACGCTGAGCCGCAGCCGCAGACACCCGCGAGCGCTGATCCAGTCAACGTCGTCGATGATGTTGAAATACCTTCGACGACCGTTGAACCGCAAGTTACGCGTCGATCTCGTCGTACCGTTCGACCACCACCTCGTCTTGATTTGTGATCAGTGTGGTTGAAGCCCTTTGGTGGGGAGAATGTTGTGTATCGTGTCGGAGAAAGGTCTTCTGGGGTGTCGTCGAGATCTCGTTGCGACCGTGACTCCTGCTTGTCTCCCTGGCTAGGTGCTGCTTGCTTTGCTTTTTTGCGTAGTGTTTTTGATTATTGTTTACTATTGCGTATTGTTAGTGTTCGTTGTGATTTGGTACAGTACTTGTTACGAGATACGACACATTGTGTAGTGTGTGTTTGCAGCACGAAGAAGACTGCTCACCAGAACGGTTAGCTCAGGAGCTTGGGCTTACCTTGTGCAATCACAGTTCATCAGCTTGGACATTGCGCTTGGTCCCATGCGAATAACCGACTAGAATAGTAATCCTTTCTTCGTTGCATTTTTGAATTGTGTTCTTGCTAGCTCGTTGATTTATTTAGTTGATGTGTTGATTTGTGTTTGATTACTTATTTATTTGATGCGCGATTTATGTGCGCTGATTGCGTGATGGCATGCAATTATGATCATGCTTGCGCCAGCTAGCTAGATGCCTGCGCCGCGCACTGATGTTGAATGAGTTAGTATGCGCCCCGCGCTGTTCATGCATATATGGTACATGGTGTGTAATGTTTGCCGCACACGCGTATACGTGCCTCGCCTCGTACTGCTTATGTGCCGTGCGCCGTACTATTGCTGTCGCTTTGCCGCCAAATTTAGCTTCCGCTTTCCGAGCGCTGTACGCTCTTCTGTACGCTCATGCCAAAGTTGGACGCACGTTGTGGCTGGCCAGCGCTTTACCCCTCATGCGTTGTTCTTTTCCTTGATGCTGTGGTTTGTTTTCTTTAGTGTTCTAGAGTTCTCTTTCCGATGTAGTTCGTATTTTTCCAGTCTCTTCTTCTCAATGTATTCTACTGTTCATTCATTATAGTCCGTAAAGAATTACGTGACCTTTTGTCTTGTGGCGTCTGTGCGATCCTGAAACTTTTGAGGTGTTAGTAGTGAACACAACATGGATACTGTAATTTCACAAATTTTCGGTGTACTTTTATTTTCTGTACTTTCGGTGCGTCTGTTTCATACCTAAAATTTCAATACACCGAACAAACACTAACACACATAATCCAATAGGGAACTGCTTCTCTGTACCGAAAATTTCTGTTCACCTAACCTAGCCTGTTGCCCTCATACCGAAAATATTGAGCACCGAAAATTTCTGAAATTAGAGTAACCGAACACTGGTTATGTTGGATGCATCACCTATGCTGTAAATCTGTAACCAGCTATTTTCTTCTGGCCATCGAGGGATCCGGATAACAGAGGACTGGATAACAGAGGACCGGATAACAGAGGACTGGATAACAGAGGACTGGATAACAGAGGACTGGATAACAGAGGACTGGATAAACGAGGTGTGACTATAGTGCACTCTAGTTATTATTTTGTTAGTGAACTTCATAATTCCTCACCTTGGCTAGTATGTCTACAGCAAGTTAATTATACGTTTGATGGAATTTCATCTCTACAGTACCGGTATGTAACAATCTGCTAAATTTTTACTTCACTGAGTTTAGCAAGCTACGATTTCATGTCATTTGCTGCATTTAGAGGGATAGTCCAGGAGTGCGATAGACAAAATTGTTATATCTTTTCTTGGGGGTATTATAAGAATGGCACAGCCGTTTCAGGGCTACCTTTTGATCTTCACAACAATCATACTGGTATTGTGAACATGATTCCTCTTTGCCTGTAGAGAGCGGATAACTGACAAGTCCTGAAAAACAAGAAGTTAGGCCCGAAAGTCTACCCGTCATAGACGGTGCCTATCGATTCGCCCTGATCGACGTTGACGATCACAACAACTGCTGCATGTCGTGCCGTACGAATCATACAATATTTTACAGCTCGTCCCCAGCCACGCGGACAGGGTCTTACGTCCCGTACCATTCAGTGTTACGTCTATTGTGAACCAGACTTCAGTTTGTAGGATTTTCCATGGAGTTAATTATTATAATTCCATGGATCTCTCTCTCCACCCCCCCCCCCCCCCCCCCCACACACACACATACACCACATGGATCATGTTCAGGAAAACACGCACACATATACACACACGCGGGTTTATACGTATGTACGTACACACACACACACACACACACACACACACACACACACACACACACACACACACACACACACACACACACACACACCTTTGGACCTTTTGATGCCCATCGCCAGAGGCGATGATAGCTATCCTACAGCAGACGCCATAGCAACTTGTGCTGGGATTGCACCACCACCACCCCCCTCACATGCACATGCAAACACACCAGCAAACACATACAGAAACGCACGCACGTGTACGAGCACCTGCGTACATACTTGTACTTGTACTTGCTCACTGCCAAAACTGGTCACGTGGGTCTCCCCGGGAGAGGGGAGAGAGACTCAAAAGGAATATTGGAAAGATGACTCAATTGGCCATTGAACCACCCAACGGCCGACACCCCCTGAAATCCCCAAACTAGGGTGGACTTGAAATGATCCCACTTATGGGCTCACCACACCTCAGTAAGTGGGTGAGGACAAGGTGCAGAAAAGGATTGACGGCATCAGGGTATCCGTCTCAGGATCCAACTGCAGCGTACATACACACACACACACACACACACACAACACACACACACACACACACACACACACACACACACACACACACACACACACACACACATACCAGGCTGTATGAACCGCCGGTGAACCGGTGAACGTGCCAACAGAGAGAACAATAATATTATATTAAACCTGGTTCGCAGATTGAGTTAAGATATATTATTTTACTTGAAGAATGTCATAAGCGTAGCACAGGAAGTTCAGGGGCTAAATCAGTGAATCACACATTAAATTCCGGTGGGCTTAGAAATATTGCAGTCCTATATATTGAAATTATGTTCTAACCGAAGAAGCCAAGCCAAGCTGGCAAATGAAGGCGGTCCAAAGAGTTATTCAGCTGAACTACTTTTATGAAACAAATTGCAGCAGGGAAAAGGCCTCAGCTCGCCTTTTCGTACATGTCATGAGGCCCGGCAGTACCAGAAGAAGTCGTGAGGACTCACCATCATTTATTCGAGAATTCGGGTACAGAAAATTAAAAAATTGTGAGGGATGTCAAATAGTCTGCAAGAGCTTAGAAGAAACCATTAGAAATGCAGCAAGTTAGTTTTCACTCTAAATGAAACGACACAGTCGTTGATGATAAGAACTATCAGTCTAGTGTATCATGTGCTCCCAGCAGTGATGAGATCATTCGCGAACGGGAGCGGCGTTTTTTTTTGTGCCCCTTTCTTTTCCAAAATGATATCAGACAAACAGGCAATACGCGGGCATGTGCTACGCTGGGGAAAACACTTAAAACTTTCTGGAAGTTAGATCGGAGTACATCAACATCGAAGCAGCATTGTACAGGACTTACTAAGTCATTTTCATCAATGAACAGCTACAATAGCACTAAGAGACTGGGAAAGAGTGACGGAAATTTAAATCGGACTGATTTCCGTTGCCGGGCGGATACCGCTGGTGATGACAGAATCATTCCTATACTAATTATTACTAAAAAAATTCTTGAATTTTCGGACTCACTCTCCGCCAACTCGTGACGTCATCATGACAAACGTGAACAGAGATGACATCATTCCGAATCTTCCTAGACGGTTCAAGCTCACGGCTCGAATTATTTCGAATCGACGCTGAGAGGGGCACGGATTGTCCTTGATTGGTGAGAAAGGAGATGCAGGTTAGTAGTCCAGGACTGAGAAGCACCCGGTTCTGTGGGGTAGCTCAGTATAAGTATGACTGGTTTCACGACAAAATAGGTTAGACAATCGCTGAGTGACGGGTCACCCAATAAAAAGACGAAGAGAAGTTTTCAGATCATTTCTTCACGTTTTACGGCAAAGTTACGAGGTAAATGCTATCGACGTGTATGGTCATCTGAAAGAAACTAGTCGTCTCTTTTTCACCCGCTCTCCTGTTTGCTAGTGCCAGACTCAGTGTTTTCCGGGTCAGAGACGTGCTCGTTGTCATGGCGATCATGCTCCTCAAACAGCTCTCCTTCGGCCCAGGGTTGCCGCTTGCCCGACGCCATGGCAACGTAGACCAGGGCGGAGGTGAACAAGACGCCGGAGGTGATGAAGAAGACCTTTCGCCACTCTGCAGCTGTCTTCTGCGGCTGCAGGGGGTTGAACCAGATCAGTACAGCATGCATGGCAGCAGGGACACGAATATTATTATTACCATGAAGAGCTAGGATTCAAAATTCGAGGACAAGAATATATCATGAAGAGCTGGATTATCGAATGCGAAACCCTCTGAATCCATTTCACCGCTTTTCGGACAATTGCCAAAATATGATTCACTCTACATGTATGTGTTGTTGTTATCAAAATCCATGTTTGGATTCCAGTTTTGAAATGGTTCTAGACTTCTAGTCATATTTTGAATGTGAACTTTTGCCTGATGATGCCCCAGGACCTTGAGAGTGCAATGAGCTGAACATCCGATTTTCTCAAATTTGGCGCTTAGCAGGGTTTGCATATCAGTTCCTCATAATAATACCGTATTTTCCAGAGTAAGCCGCACTGGAGTATAAGCCGCATCTCCATTTTTGCAACGAAATACAGACATCAGTCCTATTTTATCACTGCTCATTTGATCATTGGAGTAGAGGCCACACTCTCCTCTTTCGGGAGTGAATGTTGAGTGTTCAAAGTGCGGCTTATGCTCCGGTCCGGAGAATACAGTAGCCCATACACAACCCCCTCCCCCCCCCCCCCTTCATGTTCACACATCGCACAGACACAGAGACACATATGCCCGTACGCACGCACTCCCACGCAAACACACACCGACTGAACTAACGTTTGGTTTCTCATAGTTTTTACTTTGATCTTCCATACACAACCACCCCCCCCCCCCTCATGTTCACACATCGCACAGACACAGAGACACACACGTACGCACGCACGCCAACGCAAGCACACGCCGACTGAACTAACGTTTGTTTTCGCGTAGTTTTAACTTTGATCTTCCACATGTTGCAAGCCGCTGGCACCGCGCAAAATGACAACCTGAGCTCCAGACAGTCTTGGAGTCCGCAAGGTGTTTGTAGTGCTGTACGGTAAGAATTTGTTTGGTTCTTTGCAGTGCTCTGGGAACGGTTCTTTGCAGTGCTCTGGGAACGGTTCTTTGCAGTGCTCTGGGAACGGTTCTTTGCAGTGCTCTGGGAACGGTTCTTTGCAGTGCTTTGGGAACGGTTCTTTGCAGTGCTCTGGGAACGGTTCTTTGCAGTGCTCTGGGAACGGTTCTTTGCAGTGCTCTGGGAACGGTTCTTTGCAGTGCTTTGGGAACGGTTCTTTGCAGTGCTTTGGGAACGGTTCTTTGCAGTGCTCTGGGAACGGTTCTTTGCAGTGCTCTGGGAACGGTTCTTTGCAGTGCTCTGGGAACGGTTCTTTGCAGTGCTCTGGGAACGGTTCTTTGCAGTGCTTTGGGAACGGTTCTTTGCAGTGCTTTGGGAACGGTTCTTTGCAGTGCTCTGGGAACGGTTCTTTGCAGTGCTCTGGGAACGGTTCTTTGCAGTGCTTTGGGAACGGTTCTTTGCAGTGCTCTGGGAACGGTTCTTTGCAGTGCTTTGGGAACGGTTCTTTGCAGTGCTCTGGGAACGGTTCTTTGCAGTGCTTTGGGAACGGTTCTTTGCAGTGCTCTGGGAACGGTTCTTTGCAGTGCTTTGGGAACGGTTCTTTGCAGTGCTCTGGGAACGGTTCTTTGCAGTGCTCTGGGAACGGTTCTTTGCAGTGCTCTGGGAACGGTTCTTTGCAGTGCTCTGGGAACGGTTCTTTGCAGTGCTTTGGGAACGGTTCTTTGCAATGCCTTGGGAACGGCTGTGTCCACCCAACTACTTTCTACAGATGAAGCTGCAAAAAAATTCACAGTTCGCGTGAGAAAAAGTGGTCGAAGACCGAAAATCCCAATCGCTGCATCCATGTTTCCCTCGTGCCAGGCCACGAAAGCGGAAGAGGAAGGATTTTTTCCAGCCGTGCTGCGCCCCACAGTTAATGAAGCTGCAAGAGCTCGCAGCACCCGTAGCTTCAGGAGCCGACTGAAACTGGCTCGCTGGCGTGGATTGCCGGGAGCCACTGTGTATTGAAGAGGGAGTGTGTTGAGTGGCAGTTTTTCCAAGCGGAATGTTCGATGGACTTCTCGTATGCTCTGGATGGCAGTCATGAGTCAGTCAAGTGTCAAGTCAAGTCGGCGGAATAGCGCAAGCTGCCACACAGTATGCAACGCAACGCACCGGTCGACATTTGTTTTCACGTGTGAAGTGATCTTAACTCACAGTACAGCTGATTGAACGATGAGAGAAAACTGGGCGGGTGTCTGAATGAGTCGCACAAGACCTGCGCTGGAGCAAGCAGCAACTGTGGTGCGTCTAGGTGGAGTCGAGACCCCGGGTCGGTGGAGCTCCCCAAACCTCACCACTACTACTACCACGATTCATGTTGTGCGTGCTTCCCATAGCTGTATCTCATGTTTGGCACTTAAGTAGTCTTCGTAAAAATAATTAATTGATAAAAATAATAATAAACAGCAAACAGAAACGTAGCAGCACTTACAGTCAATGCATCCGCTATGTACGGGCCGATAATGCCACCGATGGCGCCGAACGAGTTCGTGAAGGCCAGGAGCACTCCGGCGAAACGCGGCGACAGATCGACCAGGTTGATGAACGCACCCATGGTGATGAACGACATGCACGCGTCTCCCACCGTCACCATGGCGAGGGCCAATGCCTTGCTCTTGCTGTACGCCGCACCGATAAGAAACACTGCCGTACCCATGTGACCTGAGACGAAAACAAACAAACAAACAAATGGACCGGTGCAAGACAGACCGTGTGTTCAAGACATCACTTCATGTACAGCGGTGCAGCAAAATGCCAGTAGGACCTGCCGCAACTAGACCTGAGAGAGAGAGAGAGAGAGAGAGAGAGAGAGAGAGAGAGAGAGAGAGAGAGAGAGAGAGAGAGAGAGAGAGAGAGAGAGAGAGAGAGAGAGAGAGAGAGAGAGAGAGAGAGAGAGAGAGAGAGAGAGAGAGAGAGAGAGAGAGAGAGAGAGAGGAGAGGGAGAGGGAGAGGGAGAGGGAGAGGGAGAGGGAGAGGGAGAGGGAGAGGGAGAGGGAGAGGGAGAGGGAGAGGGAGAGGGAGAGGGAGAGGGAGAGGGAGAGGGAGAGGGAGAGGGAGAGGGAGAGGGAGAGGGAGAGGGAGAGGGAGAGGGAGAGGGAGAGGGAGAGGGAGAGGGAGAGAGGGAGGAGGGAGGAGGGAGAGGGAGAGAGAGAGAGAGAGAGAGAGAGAGAGAGAGAGAGAGAGAGAGAGAGTAGGGAAGTTACACACCGTTGACATACCCGATTCTTGTGTGATTTGAAACTGACAATGCACTAATATCTATGACAGTGTATCTATCCCTCCTACGGGCGTGGACTGATTAAAATCAGCTGGGATGACCGGGGTCGGCATCCTTACTGCCCTTTAGCTCGTACATGACACTAGGGGTGTCAACGGGTAGTAGGGTACCCGTGCTACCCATAATTAGAACGGGTATTCGGGTAGCAATTTGTTCCTGAGAACCTGATCGGGTAGTTGGAGTACGGTGTTTTGCAACGGTGCATGTAAAAAGCACGGCTGCGTGCTTACTGTACACTTTCTATGTAGCGCAAGAGTAGACTCACCGTACAAACTATGTAAAAAAAATACCCGATGGGGGGGGGGGGGGAATACCCGTGCCACCCGGAAATTCTGAACTACCGAAAAGTCCGCTGTAAACGCCCACCCCATTTTTTGCAAGATCTGCTCGCCTGTACGCACTGACCCCATGCACTATCACCCCTACTGTACAAAAGTGTATCTCACACCGTAGCACGAAGAGCGCTTTCCTACGGTAAACTATGTCCACTTTCCAGGTTTCAACAATCTCTTTGGCCACTAGCAAGAGTACATTATGTACTCCTGGCACTAGCTGTGAGCTAGCTTGTAGTGATTTTACTTCATGATGCTTTTTCCTTCTTCTTTTCCTGATGATGGTCATGAAGACCGAAACGTTGAAACGATACCTCTATTGGATTTGTGTGAAATGCAGTGCTCTCTTGAGTGTAGGAAGGTTGCCCGCAAACTATTCACAAGGCCGTTTTATTTCGCAAATCCAAACGGGAGTTTCTTCCTAAAAACAAGGTGGCGAAGAACAGAGTATTGCAGGAACGAAACACACTTCTGACGGTCATTTCCGCATCACGCAATGTGCAAAGGCAAGGGTTTTTCTGACAAGTTAGCAGCGACTTTGTAGGTGTAGCTTTTGTGACACCCCCCGTTTGACTTGCAACTGCAATCCTGCGACCGGTCAAGTCGTTGAATGACGCTTCGTCCGAACAATCACAGTTCCGTTCTGAAAGCGCGATATCGTGGCACTGCAGAAATTTCAAGATTTTATTCTAAGGCATTCACATGGATAACGAACTAATATCAAAGACGACTCGTTTATCGAAAGAAAGGAAATCTCGACAGAAGTTTTTCTTTGCAGCATAATAATGACGAACTCTTTTGCACAGCCTCCTGGTAAGACATAGGCAGTTTGTAGGCATAACAGTCATTCTCGCACGCATTCGACCTTCATGCCAGTTTTCTACAACTATATTGACCCGAAAAAGACGAAAATACTCAAGTAGTATGGTGCTGCTGGGGTGGGTGTTTGCTGTGGACTTTACAGTATATGTACAGAAGAGAGAGAGAGAGAGAGAGAGAGAGAGAGAGAGAGAGAGAGAGAGAGAGAGAGAGAGAGAGAGAGAGAGAGAGAGAGAGAGAGAGGAGAGAGAGAGAGAGAGAGAGAGAGAGAGAGAGAGAGAGAGAGAGAGAGAGAGAGAGGAGAGAGAGAGAGAGGAGAGAGAGAGAGAGAGAGAGAGAGAGAGAGAGAGAGAGAGAGAGAGAGAAAGAGAGGAGAGAGAGAGAGAGAGGAGGGGGGGGGGGGGGGGGGGAGGGAGCTGTGTTGCAACTCCGAGTTTCACGTAGCCGCGACCATCAGGCAACCGATGGCAGATGGCAGTGAACTAAACGTATGTCTCGATGGCGATGCAGAAGATATCCTTTCTTCTCTTTTTCTTTATTCCTTACTTTTCCTTTCTTGCCGTGGTTGGCTATCACCCCTCTCTCGCACTTTGCGTGCCAATTGGTCATGGACCACGAGTTGAGTGAAATAAATAAATAAATAGATATGTAGCCTGAAACTTCACTATTTCCACAAAACGAAACTAGTGGTAATAGGAAGTAAACATGTACAGTCCGTATCGCCTATAAGGTTGGCGGCTATAGTAATATACCGGATATAGTGATCAATTTTTCAAATTCATTGTCATTTGCCATAACTAAGTATACACAGTTATCGCGTATAGTAATAATCGTCTATAGTAATATCGCCTATAGTGATCAAATTCTTTTTCAAAAGACCTTTGTTACGTTATTTTTGCATCGATTATAGTGATTGATGTAAATGAAGTGGTGTCAGAGGAGAACAGGGTGTTACTTCTTCGTGAAGAACTAACTTGTCCAGTGTTGTTTGGTGAGTTCTGCTTGAACAAGTTGCCAAATATGCCTCCATCGTGAGGAAATGCTCATGCGGTGTGACATGAGCTGTAGCCAGCTATGCAGTGCGTATGTGCACGGCGCCCTGAGTCGTTTGACACCCCACTCGCATACATTGCATGCAGTATCGGTCATAGTGATATATCGCTTATAGTGATAAAATGCTCAAGATCAAACACCAACGCTATAGGCGATACTGACTGTACATCAATTTCCCGCCGTTAGGTTTTGCTGGGCAAGTCCACTACAACCGTACACACCTTGATACCAGCTCTGCATAAAAGGTCATGAACTTTTGTAAGGTCATACTCAGGAATGTACTATAACGGGTTGTACCTGCCAAGTATGGGGTAACTTGCCCTGCCAAGTATGGGGTAACTTGCCCTGCCAAGTATGGGGTAACTTGCCCCGCAAAAAGGTGACAGCCATCTTAGATACATACCTCTCATTTCCGCTAACACTCACCCAAAGTGTGCCCTTTAGAAAAAGGCCTTTAACTTCGGTGTTCGGATAGCTGAATTATGAGTGTAATTCCTAACAGACAAATCTTTCGCTATCGTTTCTTACTGAGGCAAGTGAATATGCGCCGTGTGGCTACTGTCGACAGGTTCCTACGCCATATTGGTAGCGTGACAACGATCCCGGACAGGAGTCCAATGATGTAGCCACCAATCTGAGGCAGGGCGGGAGTAGACACCACTCTAGCCACAGGGAAAGGAGATCACAGACATGCACACACACACACACACACACACACACACACACACACACACACACACACACACAAACACATGCACGCGCACACACGCGTGCACACACACACACACACACACAAACACACACACACATACACACATGTCATGTTACCAAATATCAACCCACATCTTTATCGAAATCTGTTGTCCATTTACACGCCCAAATTTAAACATAACAAAATGTATGTTCCTTTCAATGAAGAGAGAGAGAGAGACAGAGACAGAGAGAGACAGACAGACAGACAGACAGACAGACAGACAGACAGACAGACAGACAGACAGACAGACAGACAGACAGACAGACAGACAGACAGACAGACAGACAGACAGACAGACAGACAGACAGACAGACAGACAGACAGACAGACAGACAGACAGACAGACAGACAGACAGAGACAGAGAGAGAGAGAGAGAGAGAGAGAGAGAGAGAGAGAGAGAGAGAGAGAGAGAGAGGAGAGAGAGAGAGAGAGAGAGAGAGAGAGAGAGAGAGGGAGAGAGAGAGAGAGAGAGAGAGAGAGAGAGAGAGAGAAAGTGAGAGAGAGAGAGAGTGAGAGAGAGAGAGGGAGAGGTAAAGGGAGACAGAATGAGAGAGCTCACATCGAGGACGTTGAAGTGGTGTACTTCATAGTAGAATGTAGGTATACATGTCAGTAGCGAATAGCTGCCGAAATCACCTGAGATGCACACAATCACATTGACATGTAGATGCACGCACATGAGCATTCGCACGCATTCGACCATACACGGGAGGAAAAATGCATAACCTGTCAAACTCGTTTTTAAAGACTTTTAAGGTGTAAACCAACTCGGGAGTAAAAACACAATATTCACACCTAGTGACCCATTGTTGGCATAATTATTTCAACCTCACGCATAACGAGTACTCGCCAATAACGACATGTTTATCGTGCACGATGGAGGGTCGGTATTCGCAAGGATAACGACTGTACATGGATTGCATTAAGACACTCAGTGTCTGCTCTGGGATTTCAAACCTACCGGGTACAAGTGTACCTGGCACAACTGTTGCAACCGTGTCAGTCCCGGGTACATTCAAGTGCGGCCACTGCACATCAGGCAATCTTAGGACTCCCTGATTGTGTCCCAACAGGGTCACAAGTGACCTGGTGTTCTTTTTCCAAGCGGGTCCAAGTACCCCCCGCCCCAACCGGGTCACTGACGCGGCTGACCCGGCTCTGGAGCAGACATTGTAAGTACGAGCAGTCATGTACAGGTACTAGTGTGCGCAAGGAAGTGTAAGTCTCTGTGCTTTCATCGCAGTTATGAACCTGAACCTTAAGTTAATACGTAGAATGTCTCAGCACAGTAATGCTAGTTTATGACATGCTGTAGAATTGCACGTTGTTTTTCTTAGTCTTTTTTCCCCAGCTTTCTTTTCCTGTTACCAGTCATTCTAACAAATAGTGTATTCCTCGAAGTCTAAGGGCGTGTTTGGTTGGTACAACCTTGAACAGGATTCACCAGAACAGCGCAATTGGTTGGTTCTGGCCGACCAGAACACGTTCTGCTTGCTCCGGCCTCGAGGATGGAGCAGACCGAGCAGTTTCACTTTTTCACAGTGAAACCTGGCGGCAACATCGATTTTGGTACCAAATGATCACGTGCATATGCTTTTGGGTTGGACTCGCTGTGCCGTACACAGTGACCATGGTGACCCATACACATTTTGCAGAATGCACCAAGTTTGGCACACTTTTCACAAAAATGTGCTCTGTTTCTGGAGTGCAGTTTGGTTAAGATGAGGCTGCTCCATGTGCACCAGCTGTTCGATCCTGTTCCAGATCGTACCAACCAAACACACCCTGACATTGTTATACGATGTGTGGTCCTGATCGTGTGAATTGTGGAGCGGGCTTTAAAAGAATAAAACCAAAAATGCACTGAGTGTGATATGAACATTTCAAAGGTATGCGCCCATTTTATGTATGTGTGTGTACAATACTCAATCCCCGCACAGTTAGCTATTTCTACTTTCTACCAAGGTCTCGTGAGCGGAGCTTAGAGTTACAATTGTACTTGTCCAACTGATGGAACTGGTCACTATCCCGCTACGTCAGCTTGAGCTGCAAAGGAATTCTATTGAATGGTGAAAACTGCAAAACGCACGGATGGCCTCACATGTCTTTCAACACGCTCTGTGTGGTACATGGTGTGTTTGTGTGTGTGTGTGTGTGTGTGTGTGTGTGTGTATGTGTGTGTATGAGTGTGTGTGTGTGTGTGTGTGCGTGTGTGTGCGTGAGTGAGTGTGTGCGTGTGTCCATGCGTAAGTGAGTGTACGAGCTTGGCAAGGCCAGAACGGCTTACTCCTTCAAAATACATAAACCTTCTTTGACTAGTTAGAGCGTTAGCTTACCAGCGGCCAGCGTCAACGTAATACCCCACATTGGTACAGAGAGCAGGATGGATCTCCATGGCACGGCGGTACGACGGCGAATACTGGCTGGCAGGAATGCAGTCAGTGGGAATACGTCCAGGAAGGTGAATTGCTGCAATACGTGCGAACAATCACATTGTAAAGCGTTTGAGACATGTCCTGTGGAAACAGAAATATGTACCGTAAAGCGCACCTGCAATTTAATTTATTTTATGAGAAACCACGAACCTCGAGAACAGAATGCTGTCTTTATGCGGGATAACGCAAATGTACCAGCATTGAAAAAATAGTACCCTCTCTTGAATAGTGCCCTCTCTTGAATAGTTCCCCATCTGTGAAGTACATTGAAAAAATAGTGCCCCAGGGGCACCAATCACGTGAGTACAATGCTTGGCATGCAAAGTGTTTCTCTCCCGAAAATGCAGTACAGTCCGATCTCGCTTAACCGCACACATCCGTTTTCCACTAAAATATCCTCATAGGCAATGGAACAGGATAATCGAACACACATACTGTATGCATCAGGGTATATTCTAGGACGAATTTCCAACCGGTTACGGTCCAATGAAGAGTCGGGGGGTCCGGGGCTCCCCCGGAATTTTTTTCAAGATACAACCCAAATATGGCACTCGACAGCAATTTAACAGATTTCTTGGTGCTGGAGTACAAACTCGTGACCCTAGTACCAGCCCACGCGGCTTCGCTGGAAGTATCCGTCCAGAAAAAGCGTTTGACCATTCACAGCTCCATTCACCCACAGAAAAGTACGGGCGGTTGGAACTGATTTGTAACTTTTCAACTGGTCGCCAACAATTTCAACCGGTCGAAAACCGGCTGGGGCGGTTCTAGAAAATTCCCTGTGCATGCATGACATATGCTCTAAATGGGTAAATAACGATTTTCTTCCGAATGACGGGGGATCCGGATAAAAGGGGATGGGATAAGCGAGGTCTGACCGTACTTGAATGTGGAGGAACACACGTGCACACGCCCACCCCCCCCCCCCCCCCCACCCACACACACACCTACACACCATCCATGAGTCAACGAGAAGAAACCCGCACACAAATATTGTACGCACAGACACACAGACATATGCACACACGCACACACACACACACATACACGGCCACACACACACACACACTCGCGCGCGCGCGCGCACACACACACACACGCACGCACACACACCCAAACACAAACACAGTCATACACGAACACACCGTCAAGGTGTTTTTGTCTGAGGCGGCAATGTCGGTTTCAATCATGACTCTCTCTTCCATAGTTATGTACGGATGCACAGCAGGACTTTCATAACACAACGTAAACCATAGGATAGTGGCAAGCAGAGATCCAGCACCTGTACCGAATATACACGGGAAGAAGAGACAGATTGACAGAAGAAAACATGTTTTTAAGCATCCTTTTAAAGGTTTGCTTGCCTGAACAGTAACATTTTCCGTACAACCCTCTTCAAAACTGAAGCGCTTCGTCAAGTTAATCATTCCATATTTTCAACAACAAAAAAGATCAAGTCGTCGTCAACCCAGCACATTGAGCAGTAGTCAGTAGCTGAAGTGCAGAGAACTAGCTCCAATGATCGTGTTCACGTGCCCAGCCCAACCACATCTGGATTGAAGTCAAGTGCTTGCACGTACGGCATCGAATGAGTGGAAAATACGACTGGGCCTATCGGCTTTCTTAGTTTGAAATTGGCAAAAGTGAAAGCAGCAGCAGCAGCAACAGCAACAGCAGCAACAGGGTCACCAAGAGCAGCAGAGACATACAAGAAACTGTGATTTCATTACTATTACCATCACACAGCACGCCATGATCG